TAAACGAACTAAAAGTTAAAATTAAAAATTAACTTCATTTTTCTAAATTTAAAATTAATTTAAAAGTGTCGTATGCTGCATTCAGCTTAGTGTCTGTTGCTGTAGTAGACCACGCATCTTTTCGTCCGCTTCTTCTATTATTGGCTAGGTTCTTTTGTGTTAACTGTTTCTTGAGCACGAATGTATCTTCTTTCTTATTACGAGGTTGTCGATTTTTACTGTTGCTGTGTTGTCTAGTTTATGTGATGTGCTTTGCTGCGTGGTCTATTTTTTCAGTTGGTATTGTTGTTAAAATTATGTACACTGTACAACTACGTCATATTATACGAAAATTCATGCAAACAAACTTCACTGGTTGTTTCACTAATTCTTTATGTGCTGAATTAAATTTACAAAAAAAAATATATAATTAGTGCCGTTTAGTGGTATACCATAATTATAATTTATAAATAAAACAAGTTAGTATTCTGATAGATGAAGTTTATCTATACAATATTTAAACATCCAGTTCCTACCTCACAGAAAAATCCCGTTACCAAACAAGTTGAATAAAACGGTGATGCCCATAACTTATATTCGGAACGTGCCCGCTTCGAATTTTGATTGGGATACCGACTACTTTGACTGACGTTTCTCGTGGCTTTCGTCAGTGTCTCGAGTAAAATGCTGGGGCAGTGCGCTGACATAGTCCAGAACCAATTGTGCTTCGTTTCACACCTATTTCAAATTATTCGTTCATTAACCACATGTACTCGTAATATGGATTGTACTCTTCGTCAAATATAATTAGAATTATCAAGTCAAGAAGAGTTAGATTGGCAACTCATGTAACATGCATAGAGAGAACAGGAATATATGTATGATTCTGGTGGGAAATCCTGAAAGAAAAAGGCCATTAGGGAGACCAAAACGGACGAGGGTAGAAAATATTAAAACGGATCTTAGAGAGATAGGATGGAATGGTATGGGTTGGATTAATTTGACTCACGATACTGACTAGTGGAAGGTTGTTGTGAACACGATAATGAAATTTCGGATTCCATAAAATGTTGAGAAATTTTTGAGTAGCTGATGGCTGACTGGCGGCTTCTGAAGTAGGGCTCAGCCCCAAGGAGTTGGTTTGTGAAAAATATGTAGGATAATTATAGAGTCTCAGTTACTAACATCATTGATAATAAAAAAATAAGAGAACAATAATTAATGAGGTTCTGATGAAACATAAATACACTCTGTTGGTGAAACGTTAAGTTTTCAAAATGTTGAAAAGGGTAATGCATACACTTACCACTGTTCTTTAAACAGGAGGAAGATACAAATGCTTAGAAGAGAGCTATTCTCTCATTGTTTTGATTGTACCATGGAGGAGTTTCAAAGTCTATGAACCAATGACCACGACGTCCATGCGCAGCCAAGTCCACTCGTCTTTGAGCAAAGAAACAATTGCTATGAGAAATTTATGTGACACATTTTGTTGGTTCCTGAATCCAGGAAGGAGACATACGAAGAAAGAAAAAAAATTGACCAAATTTTTAAGTAAGTCTCAAGTTTTTAGAACGTGGAATAGCTTCAAACGCAATACTGCAATCTCATTTGCTGAAAGAAATGAAATCATTGTAGTGGGTCTTGATATGTATGGCATAGTGTAGAGGTAATTTGGATTGACGCTAAAGTTATATTGTTCGGCTACCCAAATGCCTCGTGTTGATTTCCTGTTAATTTTTTTTTTTTACTATTTTCTTTCTCTCCACGTAAATTTTATAAACAGTACTCCGCTTGAATTAAATGTGCTCTGCTCATTACTGGAATATCTGAAGCGTGAAATGCAAGTTAACCTTATTCACATCACGTTCTGTTGCTGCCCCCATCTGCGCAATAATGGGTTCATCTTGCTTCTTACATTAACGGCATTCTATGAAAAGTTTACAAAATTCCAAGGGAGAAATAACCAGCTAAATAAACATCTCCATAACGTGATGGTATTCATAAGGATCTGACAGTCGCTCAGCTGGTCAGAATGTGAAACACAGAGGTTAAATACAAGGGAATATATTTAAAGAGGTAACGATTCTGATTTGAATTCGAAAAGCATTCGGTTCGAATCTTGGTAAAGAACCCATATTGAAGTTTTTCGCGATCAGGCACCGACCACTTCTTTCTAAATAATCTTCACTTCATTATTCACTCATCTTTTTAGTTGGTTATTTAACGACGCTGTCAGTATCTAGACTATGTAAAGTCTGGTTTTATTATGAGATAAGGATCATGAACTAAAAAGAATTGGGAAGGAAGTAGACATGGCCTTATCTAGTTACAATCTCTTTAATTCACATGGACGTACTGAAAAATACCACGAAAACCTCAGTCAGGATAACAGATGTCTCAGTCGATATTCGAGACCTGTACCTCCTGAATACAGGTCTTGAATGTTGCCTCTAGAGCAGGCTGCTTGCTTGATCATCATTCATTAAGCAGCCTAGTTTATATAATCTGGCCAATGACAGAATCGTGAAGTATCTCGTATCGAAAGGTTTTATAAAATTCAGAATGAATTATATTTAAAATTCTTTTCATGGGATGTAATTTGCAAAACTTAAAATTACGAGCCATTTTCATTCTTTCATGAAAGAACACCGGATAGGTTGGTCTGAACTTGTGCTCTAGATGTGCCTGGTTCGAATCTCGGCCGGGTCACCTGCTATCTTGTCTGAGATTCTTAGTGGTTTTCCTTGGTCCCTCTAGATAAATACCGGAGCACGCTGTAGCGTAGTAGGTTGAGGCACTATGTTACAGAACGGAAGGTCACGGATTCCATTCCCGATGAGGTCACTGGATTTTTCGATTGACCGAAGAGTAGTCGGTATAGTAACTGGCTACGGGCTAGACGGCCAAGGGGCCATAGTTCGAGTCCCGGTAAGGTCAAAATTTTTCTCTTCTCCACGTCGTCAAACCGACCCTGGGTTCCACCCAGCCTCCTATCTAATGGGTACCGGGGGCTCTTTCCCGGGGGTAAAGCGGCCGTGGAGTGAAGCTGAAGACTCACCTCCAACTAGTGCCGAAGTTAAGAAAACTTGGATCTACACATCCACTCCCCCTACGTCTTCATGGAGTAGTGCTTAATTAATTAAGCACAGGGACAACTTTAGCTTTTTTTACCTAATCCTTCTAGCCGCACTATGGCCCTAGGGCCGGCTCAGCCACTAACAAACATGAGTGCCAGAAATCTTCCTGGGGGGTAAAGGGCGGCCGGCGCGTAAAGCTGACAACCTCACCGCCATCCATGAGCCGATTGTCTAGAGAAAACATGAGAGCCTCGACGTCTCACAACCCTATGGACCTTCACGGCCTGTTGAGGGATAGCGTTACCTTTTACTTCCTTTATTTTTACCCGGATCGAATCCTTACCTAGACTCAGAATATCCTGAATAGGGATTTTTGTGGTTTTTCAGTCTCTGCAGGCACATGCCACGTTACTGCCTCAAATTATCCCAAGGCCAATTCTATCCATATAACTTCCAGTTCTTAATTATTACACTATGGCATTAGACGCCGTGTAGCCCTAGATACTGACGGCGTCGCTAAATGGACTCTAACTAAACTAACTGATGTCTGCCCATTACAATTACGCAACATAAGACTTCTGAGTTCTGGGATTTTCACAGCGATTACTGTGTAGGTGTTGTTTTTTCGGAGACGTGACGCCGTATGGAGTCTTAAGGATGTAAGGGGCTCCTCCGTCTGTATATATCCTTGCAACCTTTCCCGCTCTCGTTTCTTATTCTTATTCCTGAAGATGGAAGCAACATATTCCTCCTAAGAGATATTTTGGGGAACGCCGTTAGTATCAAGACTATATAGTCAAAGAATAGTAGGGTGATAGGTGAGAAATTAACTGGAAATGATTTGGAAAGAATCAATTAAAGCCTAATCGAGGTACTATCCTTGCATTTGTCTGGAGTTACTGAGGACAACTATGAAAGCTCAGTAAGGACAGTTGGTGTGTCTGTCGACATTCGAAACGAGTATCTTCCACATTGCCGCTAGACAAACCTGCTATGAGGAAAGTTGGAAAGGATCTGTCGGATTATACGAGGTGCTCCTCGTGTAACAGTTTTTCACACAAAGCAACCAAGACATACTACATAATCCCGAATATAAGGCAACCGCTTATTTTTCCATTAAAAATCAGAAAGAATTTTTCTTTGGAAAATGGAGTACATCATTTAATTCTGAGGGTTTCAGTGAAAATAAGTAAAAACTCTTATTATTAAGAAATTAGGTAAATATGTCACTGTGTTTAATTAATGAAAGACAATCGAGACACATGGAGGAATGGAATTATAGCTCCACCGATCTTGAGTTCGGCACCAGATGGAGGTGAGTGGTCAGCTTCACGCCCCGGTACCCAATGGAGAAGTAGCTGGATTGGTCCCAGAGCCGGTCTGGTCCCTGAGGAGAAACGAAAAATCTTGTCCATGCCGAGAATCGAACAACGGCCGTTCAGCCCTTGTTCCGCACCTATACAGACTGAACTATCCCGACTCCCACTATTACAAAATAATAAATTCAAAATATAATGATAGCTCAGTCGGTATAGGGACTGGCTATGGGCTGGATGACTGAGGGGTCGGAGTTCGAGTCCTGTTAGGGCCAAGAATTTTCTCTTGGGTCCACCCAGCCTCCTACCAAACTGTTACCCGGGGTAAAGCGGCAGGGGTGTGAAACTGACCACTCACCTTCAGCAAGTGCAGGAGTCAAGAAAACATGGATCTATACATCTAGTCCCCATATGCGCTTAATTAGTTAAGCTACGTTTTTTAATACCTTAAATATAATTCTAGGTATTTTCACATATATAATTAGAATAAGAAATTAGAACTCCTCATAATGATCTTCGTGCATTTTTAAGGACACGAAATAGGGCAACTCATCTTTTCTAAAATAAACGAAACATCTTCTTACATTCAGGTTAATAAGATGTCTTTATAATGAATTACACTTACCAGATACATCAACAACGATGCTACAGTGATGTACTTCATTATTCCAACTAACTGAAGATTGTTCTCAGACGCAAACGTCCAATGCACGGGAAGAGCTGTCGGTAGTACACAGAGCCTCACTTGCTGACAGACACGCTGCTGTTCAGGTGCACAGACTCTGCAGTGGACACGACACAGAGACACTCCATGTGCCTGAAGCAAGTGGTCAACAGTGACGATGTTCCAGCCAGTTCTGCTGCCGAAGAAGCGACACAACCGACTGACTGAGTCAGTACTGTCAGCAGGACGCAACACAAGTGCTTGGGGGAGAAGGAGGTGCCAGATCGAGGGGGCTTACGACCCCACAGCCTCACAAGCTTCCTCATTGGTGCGTTTCAAGTATTGAAACTACAAGCTCGTGTTGTCCAGCATCCGTCCATTGTTCATATATCACCCCATACTCCAGACTTACATTACACGTTTTGCACGTTTCTACGCACTGAAACAATGGCAACAGATTCGATTACTTTTTTTATCTGTCGGAAAGAGCAATGTACGCGATTGTAATGATAATGAGTGCACATTATTTTAGTACATAGGAAATGAAAAATAAATAAATTACTTCTCTCTTTTAATACAGTACGTAGCATCAGTAGCTCAGGAAGTGACAGGGGTGGAATAGTAATGAAAAGGAGAAAAGACGATAGACTAATCTCTTCTTTACATCATTTTTATCAAGGGTGTTAACTGACTTCGTGGAGCAGAGCCATTCCTGAGAAGCCGCCAGTTGTGAAGCTGCTCAAGAATTTCCACAGGATTTTATGGAACCCGAAGGTTCATTACCGTGTTCACAAGAGTCCTCCACTGATCCCTATCCTCAGCCAGATCGATCCAGTCCATACCACTCCATCCTATCTCTCTAAGATCCATTTTAATATTATCCACCCACCTAAGTCCTGGTCTTCCTAGTGGTATATTTCCTTCTGGCTTTCCCACCAATATCCTATATGCATTCTTCTTCGTCCCATTGTTGCTACACGACCTGCCCATCTCATTCTCCTTGACTTGATCAGTCTAATTATACTTGGCGTAGAGTATAAGTTATGAAGCTCCTCATTATGCAGTTTTCTCTAACCTCCAATCAGTTCACCTCTCTTCGGTCCAAATATTCTCTTCAGACACCCTCAGTCTATGTTCCTCCCTTAATGTCAGAGACCAAGTTTCACGTTCATACAGAACTAAAGGTAAAATTATAGTTCTGTATACTCGTATTCTAGCCGATCACGGTAGTCGAGCGGTCTAAGGCATGCACTGTCTTCGCTCGCTCGGAAGCCGAGATCGTGGGTTCGAATCCCACTCAGGGCATGGATGTTTGTGTGCGTTTTTCTGTGTTTGTGTACAGGTAGAGGCCTTGCGACGAGCCGATCACCCGCCCAAGGAGTCCTATATAATGTGTAAGCTCATGAAAAACGGAAGTGAACGGAGTTCACTGAGGTAGGCCTAGGCCCACTGGGGCTGTAGTCCCAAGGGAAAAAAATACTCGTAGGTTTTTAGACAGCAGACGAGAAGACATAAGCTTCTGGACTGAACGGTAGCGAGGATTACCCGATTCCAAATTAAGTCAATTAAATCATTGCTTTGCGTTATTGTTTGGTTCTAAGAAGGAGTTTCAAAAGGTTAGTATTTCGAAAACCCGACGTTCATATACGTCTATTTGCCATATACAGTAGTTATGTATGCGTGATAACTCTCATTCTCATTTGAAACTTCAAGTTCTAGCTTCATGAACGTAAGTTATATAGTAGGGCACGAATGAGCGTCCAGTCTTTTGTTTCTATTTATCATGTCTATTTTGTGACTACTGATAAGATGTTTGTGTGGATATATGAGGAGTATATAAAAAGACGGTTTAATAGTGGCTATTTTAGAGTGCTTTTCGTGGGAAATGGTGACAGATATATGTCTCGACGTATCATTAGATAACATTCAGGACTAGAAAGAAATATGAGAGAAAGCAAATGAAGTTAATAATTCGAAAACTTGTATAATAAATGATAAAGACTTCCCGTTGAATTCCCAGTGGGCGTTACACTAGCAAGTAATATGTAGCAATCCAGTTCGTACCCACAGGAAACACTGCTCTTCCGTCAAACAGACTATTCATCTAATTTTGTTTATGGAATAGCCGATGTTTATTCCGAGAGTAGTACGAAATAAATAAACAAACTCCGACAAGAAAGGGTAGAATTTTTTATTTGTAAAACAAGTAGCACTTATAGTAAGCACTACGCTTTAAAGGGTTAAATAATCTTAGGTATTTTAAATTTCTGTAGCAGAATCAAAATCAAATCTGTAAGATTAAGCATCAAGGAAATCCAAACCTTTTAACTCACATTAGATTCAAAAGAGAAAATATAAAAATAAGAGGTTTACAAGGCAGTGAAAATTCAAATTTTTGTCGTGTAGGTGGTTACCGACGTTTCGGATGTAACTGCTGCCTCCATATTGTGACACGTAAATCCACTGTTAGGTAACAGGCCAACAAACATTTATTCTTCACAACATAAGAGGTGTTTTCTATATGGTTCGCATATATCCATTGCTAGGTAACGGGCCAATAAACATGCATTCTTGACACATGACACGTATTTGCCATGAGGTCCGACGCGAGTCTATATAACGAGAGGCCAACCTGACAAAAGACAGACCCGTCCTCTCGTCGGAAAGGTCGCCCCACAAAAACAAGATCGAAACTGTCAAACAGTAATAGATATCTGGCCATAAGCCCCAGATTGGGCTCGACACCAAGACTGACTGACTGACTGACTGACTGACTGACCGTAAGTCGCAATGTGCCTTTGACTTTGAATTTGGAGTTGACTTGAAAGTTGAGGGTTCAGGTATGGAGTGTTAAGCAGCTGACAACGGAAGAATTTTTAGTGCGAAGCGTCGTTACCAAAAAACGTCCAGAAAACACAGCAGAGGAATGACCATTATGGAGAGCTGTTACCAAGTAACGGCCAATGGAAACAGACAGAAGAATTAGCGTTGATGCAAATATAGAGATATATTGCATATCGTTAGTTGGGATATAGAAACCGAGAGACCTTAGTTGGTATACTGCCATAGCTCAGGCGTTTATTCTCCGGCGTCCCATAGCAGAGGCCCAGGTTCGATACAGATATTCTCACGCGGGATTAGTAACGGACAAAATATCTCTAGGGCAGATTTTCTTCCAAGTATTGCGGTTTCCCTTGCCAATTTTCACTCCACCAACTTCTTCATACTCATTAATCATCCCAAAATCCTACGATATGTAGTCTTCACAAAGCTAGCATCGTTCTATAGAAACTTGTCCCTAATTAAGCACTATGCCACGAAGGCGTATGGGGGAGTGGATGTATAGATCCACATTTTCCTGAACTCTGCACTAGCTGGAGGTGAGTAGTTAGCTTCACGCTCCGGCCGCTTTACACCCGGGAAATTTGACCGGCGCCGGTAACATCTTTAAATAACCTAAAAAAGGAAAACAGAGGAATCGGCATTCAATTCCCGGCAGGTATAAGATACTTTTACTTTCTGCACAGCGTCCAGACCGACACTGGAACCCATTCGGCCTCGTATGCAGTTGGTACTGGGTGCTGTTTCCCTTGTTTATCAGGACGCGAAATGGACCACTGATCTCCATCATCTCGTAGTCCCAAGGTTTAAAATACGTGAAGCTATACCTCCATGCACCCATACATCTCCATTCTGTAGTGATTAATTAAACCTAGAAGATTTTTTCTTTGTCGCCGTGTTGTAGTTAGGAGAGTGAATTTCGCAGATGTTGTGCAGATGGCTATTGAAAGAGTCTCATATCTGTATCCAATGGTGAGCGCTAGATTTAGCGACGATGTGTTTTCTGGTTCTCCACAGTTCCTTAAATGTTAAAACAGACGGTACGTATAGTAACCACTGTACTTTTAACATATTAACATATTCTGATGCAGGCACGCGGTAGCATAGTTGGTAGAGGCACTATGTTACAAGCAGGAAGGTCGTGGTTTAGAGTCCAGACGACTATTTTTCTTTGAATTTACCTAATCCTTCCAGCCGCACTATGGCCCTGGGGTCGACTCAAAACAGAAATGTGTACCAGGAATCTTCCTGGGGGTAAGGGGCGACCGGCGTGTAAACCTGACAACCTTACCTCCAATTGTGAGCCGATTGTCTAGAAAAATGTGGGAGCCTCGTCGTCTCACAACCTTATGGGCCTCCATGGTCTGTTACAGGGATAGTTCTACATTCTTTTTATACTAAGGTATAATATTATTCCCGTATGAGAAGGCAATAATTCTGAAATATCAAAACGGGATAGCTCAGTCGGTACAGCGATGGCCTACGTGCTGCACTGCCGAGGAATTTACCTTTTCACAACACACGAATGTCACTATCAGCCCAGACGTTTCAGGTATTTATCCGAAATTCGTTCATCCATTCACTAAAACGCACGGCAAGGCCGCGCAATTGTTTGTGTGGTTAACCACAGACCCACCATAAAGCTGAGCCGTGTTCAAAACCCATGTGTTATCTGTGGTAGGATGTGTTCCGCAGTATTGAATATATCCTCCTGATTCCCACTGCTACATTAACACAATCAGTGTCAAGAAAAATGTAAAAAAATTGTCCCCGTGCTTAATTAATTAAACACCATGGCATGAAGGGAGACACTCGGTAGTTTAGCCAGTTGAGGCACTTTGCTACAAGCCGGAAGGTCGCGGGTTCGAGTTCCGATGAGGTTGATTTTTTTTTTTTTAATTGGCCTAATCCTGCCAGCCGCACTACGACCCTGGCATCTACACAACCTCTAACAGATATGAGTACCAGGAATTTTCCTGGGGGTAAAGGGCGGCCGGCGCTTAGGGTTGCGAACCGTCATCTGTGAGCCGATTGTCTAAAACAGTGTTCCGCAACATTTTTATACTCGGCACACCATGAAATATCCATGACTCAACACGGCACACCAAAATGTTATTCCCCTCAAAAACGCATGATATCAGACAATTAATATAAATACGTAAGTACGAATAATGGCTGATACTATTAATAATTATATTTCTGTCCCGGTATCCCAAATTCAACCTAGTTCATCTTCTAAGGTCGTGGATTCCTTAAACAATATCTTCAAGGTATTTCAACATCGTTTCCCTAACATAAATATGACTCCAGTAACCACCAGTGAAATTAAAGATATAATTAAGTCTTTAAAATCGAAGAGTTCACATGGATATGACGAGATTCTGCAAAATATTTGAAAAAGAAGCCTACCATTCATTCTGGCTCCATTAACTTATATATGCAATAAACTACTGAGCCTTGGTATTTTTCCAGACCGCTTGAAATATTCTCATATTAATCCCATCTACAAAACGGGTGACAGGTCTGATATTGTTAACTATAGACCCATACCTCTGATTTTCAAGATTTTCGAGAAAGTAATTTGTAACAGACTGCAATATCATATCGATGTAAATGAGATATTGGCGCAAGAACAATATGGTTTTCAAACTAAATCAACGACCGATATGGCTACCTTTACCTTAATAAATAATATCCTATTGGCACGTAATAACAAATTAACTGCCCGAGGATTATTTTGTGATTTAACCAAGGCGTTTGACTGTGTCAGTCACGACATATTGCTTGCTAAATTGGAGTTTTATGGCATCAATAGTATAGCAGGGAAGCTTACTACATCTTACTTGACTGATATATATCAAAGAACGTTAATAAATAATAATTATAGAAACGGTGTTTCTGAATGGCAAAAGGTTAAACAGGGTATCCTACAAGGTTCGATACTTGGGCCTTTGTTTTTTTCTGTTGTATATCAAAGATCTGTCTTATGTAGTAAATAAATCATCCATACCAATTTTGTATGCGGATGATACTAGTATACTGTGTTCAAATTATAATGCCACAGAACTCGAAACTACCTTGAAAACGATTCTGATAAAAATAAATGAGTGGTTTTCACACAATTGTGTCTATATCATCATCATCATCATCATCATCAGATCTGTCAAGACGACAGGTCCACAGTCTCTTCCAAAACAATTCCTCCACTTAATGCGATCTAGAGCTTTCTCCTTCAAATGACAGTATCCTCTTCTGTCCCCAAGGTCATCCAGCATCTTCTTACGTCTTCTTGTCACTTCTATCCGCCCCTCTATCTTTCCTTCAATAACTTCTTTTAGAAGGCAGTTTCTGCGTAAAACATGACCAATCCAATTAGCCTTCCGTTTTCTTATTTCGTGTAGGATATTCCTCTGCTCACTGACTCTAATTAACACATCTTCATTTCTCACATAATCGGTCCAACTGATCTTCTCCATCCTTCTCCAACACCACATTTCGCGGCTTTCCAGGTGTTTCTGATCTACTGCCCTAAGTGTCCATGTTTCAGCCCCATACAGAGCTACATTGTCTGCATTGCAACAAAATTTAATCTGTTAAAAAACTTAACTATAATATATAGTGATACTTTAACCCACAACACTTGTAATGTCAAATTTCTTGAACTAATCATTGATACTACTTTTCGTGGAAAGATCATATTAATCAGTTAGTAATTAAGCTGAGTTTGGCTGTCTATGCCATCAGAACTTTATCTTCCGTTGTGTCCCAGGAGAGTCTACTGATGATCTGTTATGCCTATGTATATGTCCTATGGAATTATATTTTGGGGTGATTCTGCCAACAGTAATTTAATTTTTAAAATTAAAAAAAGAACAGTTATAATCATTATGAAAGCTAGAAAAACAGACTCTTGTCATCCATTGTTTAGGTATCTAAATATTCTTCCATTTTACTCACAATATATATTTTCAATATCCATGTTTGTTGTTATAAATATGGATACTTTCACACTAAATTCTGATATACATAATATCCATATCAGACAAAGTTCGGATTTACATCATGCAACTTATAAATTTACTGAAGTCCAAAATAGTGTCTACTGTTCCAGGATTGTGAGATTTAATAGCGTACCACAGAATCTTAAGAACATGACAAATGATGTTCATTAGTTTAAACATGCCTTAAAAATTTCTCCATATTGGCTTCTTTTACTCATTGTGGGAATATCTAGATTGGAGAATAATGGAAAACCTTGCTTCTTACAAATAATTTATAATCTGATTGCTGATCTGATATGGTTTTCTGTTTGGTTGATGTGATCTTTTGTCTTGATTTTATGCAGCTTTTCGTTTTGATAAGCATGATTTATATATATTGTTAACCTGTAAAATTGCCTGTATATGTTTTTTGCTGACAGTATTGTGATATGATGAGTCCTGTATCAATGTAATTTATGGGAAAATGAAAGAAAGAAGGAAAGATAATTGGTCATAAGTGTGTAAATTTATAATGCATTTACTTCAGTTAATTTAGATAATTTAAATGAAATTGCATTAATTTTAAGTTTTATAATAATGTTCTTTTAAAATTATGTTTATTAATTAAAACCTTATTAATTTTTTTATTTTTATATTATTATCTATCTTAATTGACTAATATATGTGATTTTAATTATGTAACTCATGTAATTTATCATATGGACACCTCTATTATCAAAGGGACTGTTTCCACATCCTAGGTTTTTACCTGTATGGATATATGGAAAATAAAGGAAATGAATGAATGAATGTCACCCTACAAACATGTGTCTGTTGTGTGCAGTTAGAGGTAATTTAAGAATATGCATAATTTTGTAAAAGCAATTAATAACAGTAACAGTAAAGGAAATTGTAGTAACACCAATGGAGTGACTGGTAGGGAACAAAGTAAAAAATTAAAGGGGGAGCAGTAATCTCAACAGGCACAGTGAATGTGGCACTTGGCATAATGTACATTGCAGTACTAGAGAAATTCATCATTCCATAAAAGGGTGAGCATCTGAAAACAAATATTATTCATAATGAAAAACACTACTGCAAGGTTTGAGTGTTTAATATTGGGTAAATGGTAGGAATTAGAAAGTTCATAGCTAATTCTAAAACCAAGAGAAATTACCAGTTGCTTTTTCAGTTTCATCTTTCCTTATGATATGATAGAATTCCAAGATCCTTTTTAACCTTGGCATCAATTCCGAACTGGAGTATAGAATTAAATTTACCTCTGTGTGCAAGCCACAGTGGATGGCAGGAACTACATGGTGTCATAACCCAGAAGACAATAATATGAATCTCCACCATTGTCAAACCCTCAAACCTTGTATTTATATTTAATACTAGAAAACATGTCTTTGTCCCTCTGTCACACAGATATGATGACGTTTTTCAATCTTCTGAGGAAGAATTATCCACTGACACAGATAGTGCATAAATCTCCAATCAACATTAGTGATCTAAATTTTGATAAACGATTTACGTATAATTCATAGTATGGGCAGGGACAGCTCCCAAATGCTGAACAGTAGAATATGAACTTCAGCATGGGCAGGAATTTCGCTCTTGACCATTATGTTCAGACCAGTTTTGGGGCCCTCCTAGCCTGCTGTACAGTGGGTACCTGAGACTATAGTTTAGTTAGTTATTTAGAGAGGGTGGGTTTCCCCATGCACCGCGACCAGTTTGATCTATTGTGCTTCCCTCTATGATATTCTACCAGTCTCATTACCCTACCGATAAATGGTGCGTACCATCAGTCCCGCCAAGCAAGCGAGTTCGGCCACTTGCTTAGCGGTGTCTATAATGCTTCCCCCATCTATCAGAGGCCTCAGAGGCTATTGTTGGGCGGGAAACGTCCTGGAATTTGGCTCAGTGATCCCCTTTGGGGATATGAGGTTCTTTTACGTGCCTTAAAGTTACGACACGGGACACACAGCTTAAAGTCCCTCCAGGAGGACTTGTTCCCTGAATTTTTCCGCCCTTAAAAATTCGACGACCTCCGCTGAGTATTTGAACCCGCGTACCACGAGTCATGAGGTGGGAACGTTACCTCTTGACTACGGAGGCCGCTCTACCTGAGACTATATCTCCAGGATTAAAGTTGTCAAAACATGAAAGTGACCATTCGCATGCATCTACTTTAGAGGTTAAGAATGCATGGCACTTTACCTTAGCTTGCATATAGAACTTTGCGGAGAGGTACAGAGGCACTAGAATGACTTTCATTTCTAGAGTATATAAAGTAGACAACATGATACACTTGTAAGCAAGGGTTTAAATACTACCTCTAAAAAGATGCTCTTTGAGATTCAGAATCTTTAGATCTAAACATGAGAACGTTTTTTCTACTTCTGTGGTATAAATTTTAAGTTTCTCACTGGTAAAATATGCACTGTACTTACTTTTTGCCACACTTATAAGTTCCTGTTCATCAAATTCATATCCTGGTTTGCAGGACATCCCACTCATTGGTTCACATTCACCATCTTTCTTTGTCAAAACAACACCACATCAGTCAGTATAAGTTGATGGAGAGGAGAATATTGTGATGTGTTGACACCATCACTGGGATCCATGAGGAGAAAAATGAGAATTGTGTTCTGTAATAAAGTAAAGATATGAAGGAGAATGATGATGAAAGTATCTAGACAAACACTGATGGTGAAGTGGGGAAGAAACAGTGATAATGAAGTTGAGAATAAAGGAACAGATCAGTTAAAGTGAAAAACAAAAAGAAGTTGGAAAAAAAGCTATGATAATGGGACAGAAAAATTAAATTATGAGCACAGATAATATTCATGATGAAGTGATGGAGAAGAATAATGATGAAGTATAAAGAAACTAATAATGAAGCTGGAAAGAGGCTAATGATTATAAACTAAAGAAGAAAAACTGTGATCATGACGTGATGTAATTGGACAAACAGTATAGTAACAATGAAATGAAGTACAAAGGTGGGAGATGGTGGTAGTAATGACAGTGACTACAGTGATTACTATAATTAGCCCCGTTCATCATGTTTGTGTGTTAGGTCCAATTATGAGACAATAATTGTTTTAGACATACAACAGAGCCCTTCAATTGAAGATCAGGCCATTACATGGACTCTGCCATTGAGAGAAAACACAGGATAAACGAGAAATATATGAACAGAAGTTGCGCGAAGTGTGATATGATCCCAGCGTGTGGATAAATTTTGTCATGTGCACATGTAACTTAATCTAGACCGGTGATTCTTGGCCTCTTACTTCTTGCATTCCACTGGTTTCTATGCCGGAAAGCATAGTCCCACCATAATAAAAACAAAAGTTATCTTTTACCAGGAAGTGTATTTTTATAGTAATGTGATTATAATTATATATTAATCATTAAGTTGGAGATGTTATTTCTGAGGCATCATATCCCACCAAACCATGAAGTTCCACTATTCGGGCAACTCACTGGTTGAGAAACACTAATCTAGGCAATACTACCTTCTATGATTTCATCATATACTAGTATGCATGGGTGGGCATGACTTTTCAGAAATAGGTAGATTCTCCAGATCAGAATGACAGCTCAGGAAAATGATCACACATATAGAATATCATGAGGAAAATATTATGGAGCTGCTCTGTGAATGTGTCTCTACATATATGTATCATTGCTAGGCACAAGAATAATGACATCTTAAGGCTGTGGCAGTAGTTCCTTAAAATTAAGTAGACGGCAAGTATTCATGTCTGCCCTCATTTCGAGCCTCAGCAGTATGCCATGCCATATCACAATGAGAGGAAGAGTTAAGTATCTGAGATATTGGTAAGGGCAAGAATAATGACCAGAAGAAAACATTCTTCGGCTGAAGTGTAGTCTTAAATATTATCAACTAATACTCAGTGATGCAAGCTGTGCACCCATCACACATGTTGGAGACTTTGGATGCAGGTTCCAGTGTGCTCTTCTGGGGACATTTATCTCTGTCATTAATACACCGAGGAGGCAGATACATCGTTCTGCGGCCATGGCATACCATTTCAGCTCCATATGCACCTATGATGGCCACCACAAGGGCAAGTACCAATAGCCACATGTTATGAAATATATAACAGTGGATGTGATTTTTAGACTCATCACATCCACTTGCCCTCCAATAATGTTCTGATTGAATAGGTTTCTTTTATGAAAGAATGCATGTAGGCCGTGACATCTTCAATTATCTATGAAGGTAAGAAAGAAATTAAATGCAACTTTGACAAATAATCCCACAGTAGTTAGATGTATCTTATTTTCCTACATAATTTCATTTCTTGCTACAGATTTTACGTGACTGAAACTTTAATGCACCTACTCAGTGCTTATTAAAAATACACGCACTCGTGTGAAGTGAGTGTTTCTGTTATCCATTTTGGACCAACCTTAAAACAGCTGATGTTCTCATATCTAATCACAACCAGATAAACCTGAGCAATTTTTATATGATATATAAGCTGCCAATTCTTTGCCCAAGGCTTCTTTACTGAAACCCTGAAATTTCTTTTTCTTTTATGATAGGCCTTTAATAACTCTCAATCTTTGCAGCAGATAAACTTCTACAAAAATCTTCATTCATTGTAAATGTACAGGGAGGTTCTTACCACTGTTGACCATGCACTGCCGGCTGTGAGGTTCATATGAATTTTGCCAATTAATCAGTATGCCTAACGGCCAATTATGTTTGGAATTAAGTTAAGTTATTATATTTGTGGATTGCTTGACAGCATTATATGTTATGGCGAGCAGTGCGTTTCATTCATTGGAATTTGTTTATGATTTGTAAGCAGTGGGCAGCAGTTATCAGCTCCATTAGCCATTTGATCTCGGTTACAGTTAGTGAGCAGTGTGTTCCGTCATGGTGAGTTATACTTTAGAGCAATGTGCAGTTCTGTATGGCAACTATACGAAATACGGATCTGCCAGAAAGCGTTGGACAAAAAAAAAATAAATAAGCGCCAAGCGCTTACTGAGGAAAACTTACATGTCGCAGGAACAAGACTTGAACATACACTTAGGAAGTCGCAGAAAAGTCTAGCTCAAAAGACTGGTGTGTCAAAGCAAGGTAACACAATAGCTGAAGCATAGACCCTATAAAACCATAATCCATGCCTTGCAGCTGCATGATCCAGCTAGTGGGGTTCATTTTTAGTTGGTATTTACAGTCTGTTGTCCAGTGGTCATATTGTTATGAACCTAAAAGGAGCGTATCTTTGTTCACATGTATAACACGAAGTCTATTATATTTTAAAAGTATTAGAATGTTATTAGTAGCCTTAAGAAAATATAACAACATGTGTGGATATGACAGTTTTTCTCAGATGGTGGTTCATGCACGGACTGATCTATGACTTACATTATGCCAATCCAAAAAAATCTTGTCAGAATTTTGTACAAACCACATGTGAAGAAGACTTATTTCACATATAGTGTGTACTAATACAAGTTCTATTTAAAGACAAAAAACAAACTGGAGATGAAACGGGGGGAAAAAAAACACATAAATTGGGCACACGTATGGGCATGGTGCGTAAGGAATGCAAAATAGTAAACTACCAAACTGATATATTCATATAATCACAATGGATATAGGGACATGAGCAAATCAGTTTTAAAACTTCTAAACACTGTAATGGGCATGTGGTATTCAATGCTTGAGTTGGAGGAAGGAGGAGAAGGGGAAGAAGAAGGAATGCATTAATATACAAAACAGTAGACAAATAAATAAAAATTAGGATTTGTATAGAACCTTTGGCTTCTCTCCTGCTTCAGAAGTGAGAAGTGTGCCATTCGAATCCTGGTTCCTTTATGAATGTCACAGAATGACGAGCACCTTATAAAATAAGATTATCTTCGATAATATTAAAATAATGTTCAAACAGAGGCTCAGGACTGTGATGACACATCATATTTTGTTTCAGATCACTAAGTACTCTTAAGCCCACACCGAAATTCAATATGTAGTAGTCATCACATCGACATAAACAATGCGTCACATGTGCCCTTACAACATTTATCATGTATATTTACATGAGGAACACAGTGACCACCAGTTTCCACAATTTACTTCATGTGATTTTCTTCCATGTGTTGTATCTCTGTACTGCAGCTGTATTCTACAACGAAACATGTAGAAGTAGAAGTAAAGTTGTGCTTAACTACTCGTATTTAAGCACTACGCCATGAAGGCGTATGTAAGAGTGGATGTGGTGCAATCAAAAAGTTCCCGATATTTGAATTTTGCGCGCGAATTGTTATGAGTACATCGAAATGCCGCTAGGTGTCTCCCCACACACCTTTCTTGAATCAGTGTGGCAAGCGACGTCGATTTGAGTGGTTGGGTTTATTGCTGATGAACGTATTTCCATTGTTGTTTCCGTGAGTTTCCGGTTTTGCGATGGCTGACCTGAGAGAGCAGCGTGTCTGTATAAAGTTTTGTTTTAAACTTTGGAAACCCGCTTCAGAAACGCACCAAATGTTGAAGCAAGCTTTTGGTGACAACAGTTTAGTCCAGACACAAACTTACGACTGGTATAAGCGTTTCAAAAATGGCCGAACATCGACTGATGATGACGATCGGTCGGGACGGTTGTCTATTGGTACCACACCAGAAAATGTCGCGAAAGTTAGGGATTTGATTCTGCAAGGTCGTAGACTGACCATCCAAGCAGGATTGCGGCGAAGCAGCATCGCTTGGAAGTCTGCAGGGAACTTCAACATCAGCTTCAAGAGGATCCAAACTTTCTTTCGAAGGTTGTCACTAATGACGAAAGTTGGGTTTATGACTACGACCCTGAAAATAAGCAGCAATCGTCGCAATGGAAGAGCCAAAAAAAGTTCGATAAATCAAGAGCAACATTAAGTCCACATTGATCTGTTTTTTTATATGTATATTTATTGACGGGATTGTTCATGAGGAGTTCGTCCCTCCTAGTCAGAGAGTCAATAAAAGAGTCCTATCGCGATGTTCTAAGGCGTTTGAGGAAAGACATGAGGAAAAAACGTCCATAGAAGTGGCGCACCAACGACTGGGTACTCCAGTATGACAACGCAAGACCACATACGGCTTACAGTGTGCAGGAATTTTTGGCTAAAAACAAGATGGCAGTTGTTCCCCACCCACCGTACTCGCGAGACTTAGCTCCATGCGACTCCTTTCTCTTCCCCAAGATGAAAATCAAGTCGAAGGGGCGAAGATTTGATACAGCTGAGGAAATTCAAGCGGAAACGCAGACGGTACTAAACACCCTAACAAAGAAAGACTTCCAGGATGCATTTGAAAAGTGGCAGAAACGCTGGGATCGGTGTATGCGCTCTGAAGGGGACTACTTTGAACGTGATGGTGCAGAATAAGATCTAGGTAAGACGTAATAGTTTTTATTAATATATTTCTGGAACTTTTGGATAGCACTACGTATAAACGGCATTGAAATGGCTGCGTAATGTACAATGACAGGATCTTGTGCTGATTATACTAAACTTTCTTATCTGCAGTAGATGTGTACACATTGATTTACCATGGAGTTGGTATGTTTGTTAATTTTAGTAAAATAAGTTTAAAGATGGTGGCCCTGGAACAGGATAACACTGTCAAATTTCAAGCCCTGCATATAACACATACATGTGACTGTTACCTTCATCACGAAATCATCAGGTGTAGGGTAAAAAGATAAAATTGTCCCTGTACTTAATTAATTGAGCACTATGCTTTGAAGACGTGAGGGGGCTGGTGACATTCATTCATTCATTTATTGTATATTCCGTAAATCCATATACATAGATACAGAACCAGTCACATAGTTAATATAGTACCATACAAATATAAATATATATGTACAGTTACAATCATTAAAATATATAAAAAAACATGTGTTAAATTTATATCGAGAAACAATCTTACATCACTATTCATAAAATTATGCAATATTAAAATTGTTTATGCTATTATCCTTATTTCTAGGCAAATTATATAGAACCAATCACATAGTTAATGTACAATACAATTATAAATATATATGTACTGCTTATAATCATTATAATAGATAAAAAAACGTGTGTTAAATTTACGGTCTTACATCACTATACATAAAGTTATGCAATGTTAAAATTGTTTATGCTATTATCCTTATTTCTAGGCAAATTTGTTACTAAAGAATTCATCACATGTATAAAAAGAATTTTGCAATAAAAATGTTGTCAACTGAATTTTAAAATTTTTCAAGTCATTAGACATAGATTTGATTTTTGGTGGCAAATGATCAAAGATGGCGCCACATCCCAGAAGATGGCATTCTTCAACTTTACCTTAATCTAAAATAGTCANCTGCAGATCACAGACAGATCTAGTACTACAATTATGCATTTGTGAGTTGAATGTGAATAATTCCATATTTACTATAACAAACAGGAAAATAGACAATATATATTGAGCTTGTAGGGGGAGAATATCCAATTCCTGAAACAAGCTACGACACGATGTTCTCTTTGTTGTATTTGTTATAATCCTAATTATCCTTTTCTGCATCCTAAACACTTTTATACTATGCGGGGAGTTACCCCAGAATATTAATCCATACGTTATTATAGAATGTACATAAGAAAAATGGCTCTATCTTTCTTGACCTTGGTCCTAGACGTAAGCAGGTGTTCAACTTTACCACCGAGAAGACACAGAGCCGGTCTGGATACTGTGGAGTAGAGAAAAATCTCTTGCCCCACATGGAATCGAATCGTTGTCGTTCAGCCCGAGGGCTGTCACAATGTCTCCTGAGCTAACCGGGCTCCCCATCATCAAGTGGATCAAATGCATCAAGTGTACTGAACCAGTCTTTCTTTATTTATTTAAAAAATCATGTATGTAAGAATGGCCTAGGCAATGCCCATCCGGCCCTTTGTGGTACATTCTTCTAAACATCTTATTCTATCGTAGCGGTAACATCGCGATTCTTTAACATCTTTCTTAACTCTAAGAATAGACTATAAATATTTTGACTTACCCAGTCTTTTTATGTAAAAAAAATGTATATATAAAAATGGCCTAGGCAATGCCCATCCGGCATGACTGATCCAGTCTCTTTTTTTATTGTGAAATATAATCACAGATGCAAAAATGGCCTAGGCAATGTCCGTCTGGCCCTGACTGATCCAGTAATTGCAAATGAGATCTTTCTGCCATCTGCTGATGCACAGAGCACATTACTTGGAAAACAATTGACGCGGATTACTAGCAGGAGTTCTCACAGATGTGTTATACCAGTTATACAATTTATGCGATTTATGCTGTCAACGGAGACGTAGAAGTTCCAGAAAAGTAAGAAAATGGCTTCGTGGATGTCGGCGAGAATTATTATAAGTCCCGGTATGAAAGTACAATTTTCTTTTCAGAGAAATCTTGTAAATATATTCCAAAGGTGTCCATAGTATTAACTTTGTGTTAACATTTAATTTTTGTAGGAAATGTGTAGTGCAGCTGAATAGGTTGCAGTATAGCACGTCCTGAGGTTAGGTTGGGTTAGTTTTATTGAACACGTGTTTATTGTGCAAAATTATAATTTGGGGAAAGCGTCCCCGGTAGCCATTGGATAGGAGGCTGGTTGGGCCTCAGAATCAGCCTGGAAGCTGTGGAGAAGACAAAATAAGAAGCAAACAGTCTTGTGGGATGTGGCACAGTGTAGATGTGGTGTTAACCGACGTTTCGGTGAACGTATCGTCTCCATCTTCAGGGTAGAAAGAAAAATAAATAATCCGCAAGCGAAGAGACCGTGAGAACCGGTACAAGCAGACTGGTGTTGGAAATAAACACAGCTATGAGTGCAGTGAAGGGAGGGCGGGGGGCAAGTCCCTTTAACCTTGCCTTTCTCTCCCCCGACACAATATCTTATACAAAACCCTGCTTCTGTTTCCAGCCCCTTCCCCCTCCCACTCCACTGATTTCCCATGTAGACTTGCCCCCCCCCTTCACTGCACTCACATAGCTGTGTGTATTTCCAACACCAGTCTGCTTGTAC